GGTTGTAGGGGGGGAGCGGGAGGGGGTGGAGGGGGGAGGGGGGGGTGGGTGTAGGGGGGGGGCGGGGTGTGAGGGTTGTAGGAGGGGGAGGGGTGAGGGTTGTAGGAGGGGAGGGGAGGGGGAGGACGGGGGGAGGGGGGGGTAGGTGGGGACCGTAGGAGGGGGGGAGGGTTGTAGGAGGGGGAGGGGGGGAGCGGGAGGGGGAGGGGAGGGGGGGGGGGGGGAGGAGACGGGAGGGGTGAGGAGGGTAGGAGGGGACCGGGAGGGGGGAGGACCGGGGGAGGGGAGAGGGGTGAGGATTGTAGGAGGGGGAGCGGTGAGGATTGTAGGAGGGGACCGGGAGGGGTGAGGATTGTAGGAGGGGGGGAGCGGTGAGGATTGTAGGAGGGGACCGGGAGCGGTGAGGATTGTAGGAGGGGACCGGGAGGGGTAGGGAGGACTACAGGTGGAGCGGGGAGGACTGCAGGAGGGGGAGCGGTGAGGACTGCAGGAGGGGACCGGGAGGGATTTCAGGTGGGGAGGGTGAGGATTGTAGGAGGGGGGGGGGGGGTGAGGGTGAGGGGGGCGGGTGAGGATTGTAGGAGGGGACCGGGAGCGGTGAGGATTGTAGGAGGGGAGGGTGAGGGGGGTAGGAGGGGGGGGAGGGTGAGGATTGTAGGAGGGGAGGGGAGTGGTGAGGATTGTAGGAGGGGAGCGGTGAGGGTTGTAGGAGGGGACGGGGGCGGTGAGGAATTGTAGGAGGGGAGGAAGCGGTGAGGATTGTAGGAGGGGAGCGGTGAGGATTGTAGGAGGGGACGGGAGCGGTGAGGATTGTAGGAGGGGACCGGAAGCGGTGAGGATTGTAGGAGGGGAGCGGTGAGGATTGTAGGAGGGAGGGACCGTAAGGGGACCGGAAGCGGTGAGGATTGTAGGAGGGGAGCGGTGAGGATTGTAGGAGGGGACCGGGAGCGGTGAGGATTGTAGGAGGGGACCGGAAGCGGTGAGGATTGTAGGAGGGGAGTGGTGAGGATTGTAGAAGGGGAGCTATGAGGATTTAAGGAGGGGACCGGTAGCGGTGAGGATTGTAGGAGGAGAGCGGTGAGGGTTGTAGGACGGAACTTGGTTATCTTTGTAATGATCTGTCTTCATTCATGGGTGGGTGGTCTACAGTCTGGGGTGGGTGGTCTTCATTCTGGGGTGGGTGGTCTTCATTCTGGGGTGGGTGGTCTTCATTCTGGGGGGTGGTTTTACAGTCTGGGTTGGGTTCTTCAGTCTGGGTTGGGTGGTCTTCAGTCTGGGTTGGGTGGTCTTCAGTCTGGGTTGGGTGGTCTTTAGTCTGGGGTGGGTGTGTCTTTAGTCTGGGGTGGGTGGTCTTTAGTCTGGTGGGTGGTCTTTAGTCTGGGGTGGGTGGTCTTTAGTCTGGGGTGGGTGGTCTTTAGTCTGGGGTGGGTGGTCTTTAGTCTGGGGTGGGTGGTCTTTAGTCTGGGGTGGGTGGTCTTCATTCATGGGTGGGTGGTCCTCAGTCTGGGGTGGATGGTATTCAGTCTGGGGTGGGTGGTCTTCATTAATGGGTGGGTGGTCCCCAGTCTGGGGTGAGTGGTTTTCAGTCTGGGGTGGTCTTCAGTCTGGGGTAAGTGGTTTTCAGTCTGGGGTGGGTGGCTTTCAATCTGGGGTTGATGGTCTTCATTTATGGGTGGGTGGTCTTCAGTCTGGGGTGGGTGGTCTTCATTCATGGGTTGATGGTCTTCATTCATGGGTAAGTGGTCTTCAGTCTGGGGTGGGTGGTCTTCATTCATGGGTTGATGGTCTTCATTCATGGGTAAGTGGTCTTCAGTCTGGGGTGGGTGGTCTTCAGTCTGGGGTGGGTGGTCTTCATTCATGGATGGGTGGTCTTCAGTCTGGGGTTGATGGTCTTCATTCATGGGTAAGTGGTCTTCAGTCTGGGGTGGGTGGTCTTCATTCATGGGTAAGTGGTCTTCATTCATGGGTGAGTGGTCTTCATTCATGGGTGGGTGGTCTTGTTGGTCGCTGTGTGTACATCAGATTTCAATGGCGTCCATCTCACACGTCCCGTCTCTCCGCAGACTCATCTTCATGGATATAGACTTGGACTATGAGCGCCCCAATGTCGAGACCATCAAATGTGTGGTAGTCGGAGACAACGCGGTGGGGAAGACGCGACTGATCTGCGCCCGCGCCTGTAATGCCACTCTCACCCAGTACCAGCTCCTGGCTACCCATGTCCCCACCGTGTGGGCCATCGACCAGTACCGCGTCTGCCAGGAGGTAACGAGGGGTCTCCTCTGCGTTTGAATCTATTGATCGTGTGACCTTCCCATGTGGGAGGAGCCTAGGTACAGGGGTGTGATAGGAAAGTCTGCAGATCGTTGATTGGTTGTCCAATCCCTATCCTCAGGTTCTGGAGCGATCCCGCGATGTGGTGGACGAGGTCAGCGTCTCGCTACGGCTCTGGGACACCTTCGGGGACCATCACAAGGACCGTAGATTCGCCTACGGGAGGTGAGCGGCCCGGGAATGACCCAGTGTAACGGAACCGGACCCGGACTGCACTGGGGTATTTCTGTTAGACTCCCGCTTCCCTGTCCGAACACAGATCCACGGACACCACCGCTGACCATACAGGACGAGACAGCACCAGACTTGTATTGAAACAGGAAGTGAACTGCTTTATTTTAACATAGATACAAGATATATACACAGTGCGGGGCAATACACCCAGGAACAGGAAACACATCAGCAGGCCGTCCCATCAGGGGGAAGGGCTGCTGGAAACACCCCCCACCAAGCCAGTACAAACACAAGATATATACACAGGGCGGGGCAATACACCCAGGAACAGGAAACACACATCAGCAGGCCGTCCCATCAGGGGGAAGGGCTGCTGGAAACACCCCCCACCAAGCCAGTACAAACACAAGATATATACACAGGGCGGGGCAATACACCCAGGAACAGGAAACACATCAGCAGGCCGTCCCATCAGGGGGAAGGGCTGCTGGAAACACCCCCCACCAAGCCAGTACAAACACAAGATATATACACAGAGCGGGGCAATACACCCAGGAACAGGAAACACATCAGCAGGCCGTCCCATCAGGGGGAAGGGCTGCTGGAAACACCCCCCACCAAGCCAGTACAAACACAAGCAAGACACACAATAGAACAATGGGATGCAGCATGTGGCAGTGAACAATGAACACCCCCCCACCTATACATGACCACACAATACTAGGACAGATCACCCCGCACCCCTAACAGGCACAGGGGGACTTACACATAATAGGGATATGGGGAGCTGAGACGGGTCTCCCCACCTCTCCAAAGTGAGCTGTGTTCCCTGGGCCCCCCACCCAAAGTCACTCCCTTCACACCCGATGATGGCTGACGGGTCCTCTGCTCGGGTCACATGATATGGATTGTATGAGAGGACGGGTGTTCACCTCATACACATTGCTATGGTATATGTTTCCATCGTATAGACACTGCTGACCGGTCCCGGTCCCCTCACACTACACCTTCAGTATTGGAGGTCTCAGGCTGGGACCGGCTCTCCTGTCATGTGACCTTAATGAGGTTCCTGGCCGGTCCCATGAGCATCCTTCTCACAGCTCCACCTGCTGTATACGGCTCTGTATACTCCCCCTAGAGGTTCCCTCCATCCAACAGTCCTTTATATCCCTCCCTGTCCCTATAGTCCTCCATGCAGTCCTGTATATCCCTCCCTGTCCCTATAGTCCTCCATGCAATCCTGTATATCCCTCCCTGTCCCTATAGTCCTCCATGCAGTCCTGTATATCCCTCCCTGTCCCTATAGTCCTCCATGCAGGCCTGTATATCCCTTCCTGTCCCTATAGTCCTCCATGCAGTCCTGTACATCCCTCCTTGTCCCTATAGTCCTCCATGCAGTCCTGTATATCCCTCCCTGTCCCTATAGTCCTCCATGCAGTCCTGTACATCCCTCCTTGTCCCTATAGTCCTCCATGCAGTCCTGTATATCCCTCCCTGTCCCTATAGTCCTCCATGCAGTCCTGTATATCCCTCCCTGTCCCTATAGTCCTCCATGCAGTCCTGCATATCCCTCCCTGTCCCTATAGTCCTCCATGCAGTCCTGCATATCCCTCCCTGTCCCTATAGTCCTCCATGCAGTCCTGCATATCCCTCCCTGTCCCTATAGTCCTCCATGCAGTCCTGTATATCCCTCCCTGTCCCTATAGTCCTCCATGCAGTCCTGTATATCCCTCCCTGTCCCTACAGTCCTCCCCATGGTCCTTCTTTCTCACTAACTAACTCTCCCTGCTATATAGATCATTACACAGGTCTGTTGGGTTGGCCAGTCCCCAGTAATAGGGACCGTTCTCGGTCGGTCTTGTTTATGAGGACAGTCGGGGGGGGGGGGGGGGGTTGGGTCAGCTTTCTTCATATGATGCCGCCCCCAACATCATCACCAAGGGTGCCGTGCACAGTACAGGAGACGGTCAGAGACTGCGGACACAGTACAGGAGACGGTCAGAGACTGCGGACACAGTACAGGAGACGGTCAGAGACTGCGGACACAGTACAGGAGACGGTCAGAGACTGCGGACACAGTACAGGAGACGGTCAGAGACTGCGGACACAGTACAGGAGACGGTCAGAGACTGCGGACACAGTACAGGAGACGGTCAGAGACTGCGGACACAGTACAGGAGACGGTCAGAGACTGCGGACACAGTACAGGAGACGGTCAGAGACTGCGGACACAGTACAGGAGACGGTCAGAGACTGCGGACACAGTACAGGAGACGGTCAGAGACTGCGGACACAGTACAGGAGACGGTCAGAGACTGCGGACACAGTACAGGAGACGGTCAGAGACTGCGGACACAGTACAGGAGACGGTCAGAGACTGCGGACACAGTACAGGAGACGGTCAGAGACTGCGGACACAGTACAGGAGACGGTCAGAGACTGCGGACACAGTACAGGAGACGGTCAGAGACTGCGGACACAGTACAGGAGACGGTCAGAGACTGCGGACACAGTACAGGAGACGGTCAGAGACTGCGGACACAGTACAGGAGACGACCAGAGACTGCAGACACAGTACAGGAGACGACCAGAGACTGCAGACACAGTACAGGAGATGACCAGAGACTGCAGACACAGTACAGGAGATGACCAGAGACTGCGGACAGCACAGGAGATGACCAGAGACTGCAGACACAGTACAGGAGATGACCAGAGACTGCGGACACAGTACAGGAGATGACCAGAGACTGCGGACATAGTACAGGAGATGACCAGAGACTGCGGACACAGTACAGGGATGACCAGAGACTGCGGACACAGTACAGGAGATGACCAGAGACTGCGGACAGCACAGGGATGACCAGAGACTGCGGACACGGTACAGGAGATGACCAGAGACTGCGGACACGGTACAGGAGATGACCAGAGACTGCGGACAGCACAGGGATGACCAGAGACTGCGGACACGGTACAGGAGATGACCAGAGACTGCGGACACGGTACAGGAGATGACCAGAGACTGCGGACACAGTACAGGAGATGACCAGAGACTGCGGACACAGTACAGGAGATGACCAGAGACTGCGGACACAGTACAGGAGATGACCAGAGACTGCGGACACAGTACAGGAGATGACCAGAGACTGCGGACACAGTACAGGAGATGACCAGAGACTGCGGACACAGTACAGGAGATGACCAGAGACTGCGGACACAGTACAGGAGATGACCAGAGACTGCGGACACAGTACAGGAGATGACCAGAGACTGCAGACACAGTACAGGAGATGACCAGAGACTGCGGGGACAGTACAGGAGATGACCAGACTGCGGGGACAGTACAGGAGATGACCAGAGACTGCGGGGACAGTACAGGAGATGACCAGAGACTGCGGGGACAGTACAGGAGATGACCAGAGACTGCGGGGACAGTACAGGAGATGACCAGAGACTGCGGGGACAGCACAGGAGATGACCAGAGACTGCGGGGACAGCACAGGAGATGACCAGAGACTGCGGGGACAGCACAGGAGATGACCAGAGACTGCGGGGACAGCACAGGAGATGACCAGAGACTGCGGGGACAGCACAGGAGATGACCAGAGACTGCGGACAGAGTACAGGAGATGACCAGAGACTGCGGACAGTACAGGAGATGACCAGAGACTGCGGACAGTACAGGAGATGACCAGAGACTGCGGACACGGTACAGGAGACGGTCAGAGACTGCAGACGGGGTACAGGAGACGGTGAGAGACTGCAGACACGGTACAGGAGACGGTCAGAGACTCCAGACAGGGTACAGGAGACGGTCAGAGGCTGCAGTTGTAATACGGCAGATAAAAATACCCAGAGATGTCCTCCAGAGTCTAAACTGACTATGGGGAATCCCTGCTAAAAAGTCAGATAAAACATCAAGAGAAGTTCTCTGGAATCTGAGCTGACAATGGGGAACCCATAGTAGAAAGTCTGATAAAAACCCTCGGAAATGTCCTCCAAACTCTAAACTGACGGTATGGAACACAACCCCCTGAGATGTCCTCCAGAGACTAAGCTGACAGTGGGTGACTCATAAAAAAAACCCAGAGATGTCCCCCAGAATCTGAACCAACAATAGGAAACCCATACTGAAAAGTCAAATGAAAGCCCTCAGAGATGTTCCTCAAGGTCTGAGCTGATTACAGGAAACCCATAATGAAAAGTCCAATAAAACCATCCAGAGATGTCCCTCATAGTCTAAGCTGATAGGGAAAAACCTATCACCCAGGGACATCCTCCAGAACCTGAGATGACGATGGAAATCCCATACTAAAAAGTCAGATAAAACATCCAGAGACGTCCTCCAGAATCTGACTTCAGTATGGGTTCCCCATTGTCAGCTCAGGTAAATCATCCAGAGACATCCTCCAGAATCTGACTTTTCAGTATGGGTTCCCCATTGTCAGCTCAGATAAAACATCCAGAGACATTCTCCAGTATCTGAGCTGATAGTGGGGAACTCATGTTCAGAAGTCAGGTAAAACATCCAGAAATGTCCCTCAGAGTCTGAGCTGACAATGGGGAATGCATCACCCAGAGGTGTCCTCTGAAATCTGAGCTGACAGTGGGGAACCCATACTGAAAGTCAGGTAAAAAACCCTAGAGATGTTCTCCAGCATCTGAAGTAACAATGGGAAACCCATACTGAAAAGTCAGGTAAAAGCCCCTAGAGATGTTCCTCAAGGTCTGAGCTGATTATGGGGAACCCATACTGAAAAGTCAGGTAAAAGCCCCTAGAGATGTTCCTCAAGGTCTGAGCTGATTATGGGGAACCCATACTGAAAAGTCGGGTAAAAGCCCCTAGAGATGTTCCTCAAGGTCTGAGCTGATTACAGGAAACCCATAATGAAAAGTCTGATAAAACCATCCAGAGATGTCCCTCATAGTCTAAGCTGACAGGGAGAAACCTATCACCCAGGGACGTCCTCCAGAATCTGAGATGACTATGGAAAT